AATAACACTTGAAGCCACTGGACCAAAGCATGGCACTACAGTCAAATTGCCCATGAACAGCTGACAAGTGTCGTAAATAACATGTCTCTATCACACAGTGTGGTTGAAAGTGATTAGGATTCAATCTGTGGTAGGTTTCAATTGCACACTCATGCAACCAGTCACATATACTCCCTTTGTACAGGATCAATTGTCCAAAGTTTTCACATTATTATGTTACCATATCCCTGTGGCTTATGTATATTTCATAAACCTATGCCTTTTTTTAATCCATTCTCAAAATAATTCATATACAGTCCCACTTTTGAGATACTTTTATTTTTCCTTGACCCATAAAACTGATTCTCATAATATGTCATGTGTAGATTTAAAGAGAATCAAATCTCTGATCGCTTTCAAGATTATTGCACTATTATAGCAATGTGCATGTACGTGTGTGTGGGTGTGTTGGTGCGTGTGTGGGTGTGTGGGTGCATGCGTGCATGTGTGTGTGCGTGCGTGACTGCTTGTACTAGTCCGGACTAATGCCGCACGAGCCCACTGACTCCGATCTGACCAGTCCTTCTTTTAGCCCTTAATGCCAAGCACCAGGCAGGGTAACAACAAGTACCATTTTTTAACACCTTTAGGTATGACGCGGCCAGGGAACAAACCCCCCACCTTCTTCTCTAAGCAGATGCTCTACCACTAGACCACGGAGACAGTCTGATTTCCTCTATAGTTGTGTGGTGTATGTAACCCCAAGGATATATCTAGAATTCCAAATTAAGTGCCCTTTGGCAGTCAAAATGGGAAAATGTGGGATTTTCTTCAAGTTTTCTAAAAGAGGTATTTTAACATTGTGTCCTAATACATGTATTGCCATCAATGAAATAAAGTAAAATTTAGCATCAAAGTAGATTCCTCTTTATTGGTTTCGGTATCAGCGTAATACAAGTCACTTCATGCATTCAAGCCATCACATCAGTTAGAACTATATTAACATATTCCCATCAGAGAATTTTGACTGACATTTGCTGCCAAATGTCGGCCTCTCAGCAGGTCTAGATAAATCGCGGAACTCTATCAAGCTATATGTTTTGAGATCAACATCACATAGCAAAAAAAATATTGGCAACATAATTAATCGTATTATCATTATTAATAATCAATGTTATTAAGGCCCCTCCCATCATCAACTGATATTATGTCAATCATTACATACATTATCCATGCTCCATACAGTAAATACTGACCCTTGTCAGCATGATCACTTGAGCTGAAGTCAAATTAGGAATAATCAGTGAGTGAGTTGGATTTTACACCACTTTTAGCAATATTCCAACAATATTAATATCAATATCACACCTTAGGCGTGATGAGCGAACGGTTTAACCACTAGGCTATCCCACTGCCCCTTAGGACTAATCAGATAAACCACACTTGAATATATATTCAAGCAAAAAGTAACTATGATAATGTTTACATTGAATATATATAAAGTTTAAAGATTTAGTGTATTAGAATTTGTTTGAGCTGCATTTAACCTTGTACATTAAGGTACACTGGTAAGAAGACTTATCAGTCCATATAATCACTGCTCCATCATCACTCACATCATCACTCCTCCACATCAGCATTCACATCACTCACATCATTACCCACAAAATCATCACTCACATCATCACTCACATCATCACCACCATCATCACTCCTCCATCATCACTCACATCAGCATTCACATCACTCACATCATCACTCCTCCATCATCACCCACATTATCACTCCTCCATTGTCACTCACATCATCACTCCTCCATAATCACTCACATTACTCACATCATCACTCATATCATTACTCCTCCATCATCACTCAAATCATCACCCACATTACTCACATCATCACTTACATTACTCACATCATCACCCACATCATCACTACTCACATCATCACTTATATCACTCACATGATCACTCCTCCATCCTCACTCACATCAGCATTCACATCACTCACATCATCTCTCACATCATCACTTCAACAAAAATATTTCTACTAAAGATCATATCACATCAGCATTTATTTTTTTATTTACTGGATCACATTTTTTCTGTCTAATTCAAAAGCCAAAGGAATGAAAATAATTACACCAGCCTCAACCTTGGTACTCCATGTGTGTGAGTGAAATTTTATCTTTTCTTGGAAAACTAAGGATGTTTATTTCAGGATACCAAAGACAAGGGACGAAACTCTTCATTTAATATGCACTGAATCACCTACAACTGATTTATATAGCGAAATATAGCGTTATGCAAGTGTTATTGATGTGTTTATTAAAACACTGAGTAATCACAAAATATGTTTGAATGTGTGACATGTTAGTGTGACATATATGCACAGAATTTCTTTCTAAACAATCTCCATTATTTAGGGAAGATATGGTCGGCAGATCTGTGATCCAACAGAAAAAAATTAATCATGATCTAAGCTCCATATTAAAATGAATGCATTTTCCAGATAACATACAAGTTCTCCATATTTCAAGTGTATAAACATCAATTTAGGGCCAGAGTGGCATATGCTCCATGTAGAGGACGAACATCCTTCAAACGTCTTCAGCTTGCTGGCATACCTGATGTGTCAAAGCCAGGCTGTTTCATGCAAAGCTTATTTTCTCAAAGCATGGCATTTATAAACTCTCAAAGACCATACCACCTTTACACCAAACACAGGGGAATATGGCCTCTTTTCAAACAAACCATAAGGTTGTCTTTGGAGGCCTGTTATATTCGTTTGAACCCACAACACTGCACATACATGTTTGTATCTGACGAGGTTTTAGCATAACATAACACATGGGGGTGGAGGCTTAAAAATATACCCAGACCTCCCAGAAATCTGAAATAGCCTAGGGTGATAATGACAAGAACAGCTGCATCAAGAGGCCCATTCGGGGATGTAAAATCATAATAATGTAAATTTAATCTAGAAAATGGCATGTGTCGATCTACTTCGAGAATGATTTAAATTTGATTGAAAAATGTCAAATATATTGATAATTTCAAATCCCCTTTTTTAGATGAGTGTGGCATGAAGATAAATTTATGCTTTTGTGATACATGTACCAAATAGTTTTGAGGATCCTCAGGCTGATGCCAAGACATAGTACTAAAACTTGTAAAAGTTGTAGTGAGTGAGTGAGTGAGTTGGGTTTAACACCGATTTTAACATTATTCCAGTTATATCACGGCGTGTCAGCTTAATGGGGGAGGAAAGCCCAAAGTGATGCAGGTCTCAGACATTTACCACTTCAGTGAAACTCACGAGCACGGGTATGGTGCTGACAAACCTAGAAACATAATCGGGGTGACCCGGGATTCGAACCCACAATCACAGGTTTCTGGCGTGCCCAAGGGATGCAACTCTTCACAGTGAATCACGGCGCCTTAGACGACTGGGCCACCCGTGCCCCTAAAAGTTGTAGAACTGCTATGAAGATAAAGTTATGATTATAACACACAAATCATTCATCGTGTCACTATGAATAATCATGCCATGATTCATTGAATCACACTAGTGAGTGTGCATATGAGTGAGTGAGCAAGACAGTGTCGAATAACTTTGCTTTGAACAGTATTTCAGTTGTGAGTGAGTGAGTGAGTGAGTGAGTGAGTGAGTGAGTGAGTGAGTGAGTGAGTGAGTGAGTGAGTGAGTGAGTTGGGTTTAACGCCGCTTTTAATAGTATTCCAGTTATATCACGGCGTGTCAGCTTAATGTGGGAGGAAAGCCCGAAGTGATGCAGGTCTCAGACGTTTACCACTTCGGTGAAACCCACGAGCACGGGTATGGTGCTGACAAACCTAGAAACATAAATTTCAGTTGTGAAGAAAGTGATGCAGATCTTAGACGTTTACGCCATTGGTGAAACCTACGAGCATGGGTATGGTGCTGACAAATCTAGAAACGTAATCAGGGCAAATCTGGATTCGAACCCACAACCACAGGATTGAGTTGAACTTATGGGTTTCCTGCATACAATTCCAAGGTTTTTTATTAATCAAGGGAGGTAATGACGAGGCCACCTGGACACACAGCATGCATGTGTTTCACCGACAGCCAGAACAACAGGAATGTCAAACATCACGTTTTACAGACTGCAAGTTACAACAGCGAAATGTACATCCTGACAGCAAGGGCTTGTATATTTCACAGGCGATGATACCTGGCCACTTTATCAAGAAACCATCTTTCCTCAGTCCAATAAAGATCATGGAATACTGCTGACAGCATCTCTGCATTCCAAGGCTTAGTATCGAATGTTTCATCACATTAAACTGTCCTGCCTCAGCAGCATTTCAATCACATTCATGCCAGGTGAGCTAATAAGACATTATTTTTTTCAGATTCAACAGGCCCAAAATTGTAGATGAAAGCAATAGATATGAAAATTATTATTTTTTTAAATCCACTGCAATGAAATAACCATGTTTACAACAAACTTGTACATACAATAGATAAAACCAACAGAGGTGAGGTGAGGTGAATTGGGGTTAAACGTCGCATCCAAGATTATTGCACTTATATAGCGACGTGCATGCACGTGTGTGGGTGCTTGTACTAGCCCGGATAGATTTATAGTTCTACCCCACAGAGATACCATGCCGCAGTTTAACATGAATACCCCACTCAGACACAGTATACTGACTCTGAGCCGACCAGTCCTTGTTTTAGCCCCTTAATGCCAAGCACAGACAGGGTAACAACAAGTACCATCTTTTAACGTCTTTTGGTATGATGCGGCTGGGGAGCTCTGGGGGGAATGCTCTACCACTAGACCATGAAGGCGGTCAAAACCAAAAGAGGTCACCATGTGTTATACAATGACATGCTTAACTAACACTGCATGCATCGCAACATTAAAAAACAAAGAAATATTTTGTATTAATGTCCTTTTGTTTTAGTCTGTAAACAGAGAAATATTTAACGCCTGGACCAAATGTTGAAATGGAGAATTGTTTACATACCTTTTATGACTTTGACTTTGGTTTGACTAGTCTTAACGCGTAGCCCTATTCCCACCGGTTCATTGTTGGCTTCACACTCGATCACTGCATCATAGGTCACCCTCACTTTGAGGATGGAGTTCACTGTTGCATAAGAGGTCTTCTTGGTCTTGAAGCTGATGCCGAGTTCCTCATTTGGTTTTGTTATCTGTCACAGAACCATATACAAAACACATCAGACCAGAATGTCAGGGCATGGGGTTGGTTATAAGGGCATAGAGCAGAATGTCAGGGTGTGGGTTATAAGGGCATAGAGCAGAATGTCAGGGTGTGGGTTATCAGGGCATAGAGCAGAATGTCAGGGTGTGGGTTATCAGGGCATAGAGCAGAATGTCAGGGTGTGGGGTTATCAGGGCATAGAGCAGAATGTCAGGGTGTGGGTTATAAGGGCATAGAGCAGAATGTCAGGGCATGGGGTTATCAGGGCATAGAGCAGAATGTCAGGGTGTGGGGTTATCAGGGCATAGAGCAGAATGTCAGGGTGTGGGTTATAAGGGCATAGAGCAGAATGTCAGGGTGTGGGTTATCAGGGCATAGAGCAGAATGTCAGGGTGTGGGTTATCAGGGCATAGAGCAGAATGTCAGGGTGTGGGTTATAAGGGCATAGAGCAGAATGTCAGGGTGTGGGTTATAAGGGCATAGAGCAGAATGTCAGGGCATGGGGTTATCAGGGCATAGATCAGAATGTCAGGGTGTGGGTTATCAGGGCATAGAGCAGAATGTCAGGGTGTGGGTTATAAGGGCATAGAGCAGAATGTCAGGGCATGGGGTTATCAGGGCATAGAGCAGAATGTCAGGGTGTGGGGTTATCAGGGCATAGAGCAGAATGTCAGGGTGTGGGTTATAAGGGCATAGAGCAGAATGTCAGGGCATGGGGTTATCAGGGCATAGAGCAGAATGTCAGGGTGTGGGGTTATCAGGGCATAGAGCAGAATGTCAGGGGATGGGGTTATCAGGGCATAGAGCAGAATGTCAGGGTGTGGGGTTATCAGGGCATAGAGCAGAATGTCAGGGTGTGGGTTATAAGGGCATAGAGCAGAATGTCAGGGCATGGGGTTATCAGGGCATAGAGCAGAATGTCAGGGTGTGGGGTTATCAGGGCATAGAGCAGAATGTCAGGGTGTGGGTTATAAGGGCATAGAGCAGAATGTCAGGGCATGGGGTTATAAGGGCATGGAGCAGAATGTCAGGGTGTGGGGTTATCAGGGCATAGAGCAGAATGTCAGGGTGTGGGTTATAAGGGCATAGAGCAGAATGTCAGGGCATGGGGTTATCAGGGCATAGAGCAGAATGTCAGGGTGTGGGGTTATCAGGGCATAGAGCAGAATGTCAGGGAATGGGGTTATCAGGGCATAGAGCAGAATGTCAGGGCATGGGGTTATCAGGGCATAGAGCAGAATGTCAGGGTGTGGGTTATAAGGGCATAGAGCAGAATGTCAGGGCATGGGGTTATCAGGGCATAGAGCAGAATGTCAGGGTGTGGGGTTATCAGGGCATAGAGCAGAATGTCAGGGCATGGGGTTATCAGGGTATAGAGCAGAATGTCAGGGTGTGGGTTATAAGGGCATAGAGCAGAATGTCAGGGTGTGGGTTATCAGGGCATAGAGCAGAATGTCAGGGTGTGGGGTTATCAGGGCATAGAGCAGAATGTCAGGGTGTGGGTTATAAGGGCATAGAGCAGAATGTCAGGGCATGGGGTTATCAGGGCATAGAGCAGAATGTCAGGGTGTGGGGTTATCAGGGCATAGAGCAGAATGTCAGGGAATGGGGTTATCAGGGCATAGAGCAGAATGTCAGGGTGTGGGGTTTTCAGGGCATAGAACAGAATGTCAGGGTGTGGGGTTATCAGGGCATAGAGCAGAATGTCAGGGCATGGGGTTATCAGGGCATAGAGCAGAATGTCAGGGTGTGGGTTTTCAGGGCATAGAGCAGAATGTCAGGGAATGGGGTTATCAGGGCATAGAGCAGAATGTCATGGTATGGGGTTATCGGGGCATAGAGCAGAATGTCAGGGCATGGGGGTTTTCAGGGCATAGAGCAGAATGTCATGGTATGGGGCTATCAGGGCATAGAGCAGAATGTCAGGGCATGGGGTTATCAGGGCATAGAGGAGAATGTCAGGGTGTGGGTTATAAGGGCATAGAGCAGAATGTCAGGGCATGGGGTTATAAGGGCATGGAGCAGAATGTCAGGGTGTGGGGTTATCAGGGCATAGAGCAGAATGTCAGGGTGTGGGTTATAAGGGCATAGAGCAGAATGTCAGGGCATGGGGTTATCAGGGCATAGAGCAGAATGTCAGGGTGTGGGGTTATCAGGGCATAGAGCAGAATGTCAGGGAATGGGGTTATCAGGGCATAGAGCAGAATGTCAGGGCATGGGGTTATCAGGGCATAGAGCAGAATGTCAGGGTGTGGGTTATAAGGGCATAGAGCAGAATGTCAGGGCATGGGGTTATCAGGGCATAGAGCAGAATGTCAGGGTGTGGGGTTATCAGGGCATAGAGCAGAATGTCAGGGCATGGGGTTATCAGGGTATAGAGCAGAATGTCAGGGTGTGGGTTATAAGGGCATAGAGCAGAATGTCAGGGTGTGGGTTATCAGGCCATAGAGCAGAATGTCAGGGTGTGGGGTTATCAGGGCATAGAGCAGAATGTCAGGGTGTGGGTTATAAGGGCATAGAGCAGAATGTCAGGGCATGGGGTTATCAGGGCATAGAGCAGAATGTCAGGGTGTGGGGTTATCAGGGCATAGAGCAGAATGTCAGGGAATGGGGTTATCAGGGCATAGAGCAGAATGTCAGGGTGTGGGGTTTTCAGGGCATAGAACAGAATGTCAGGGTGTGGGGTTATCAGGGCATAGAGCAGAATGTCAGGGCATGGGGTTATCAGGGCATAGAGCAGAATGTCAGGGTGTGGGTTTTCAGGGCATAGAGCAGAATGTCAGGGAATGGGGTTATCAGGGCATAGAGCAGAATGTCATGGTATGGGGTTATCGGGGCATAGAGCAGAATGTCAGGGCATGGGGGTTTTCAGGGCATAGAGCAGAATGTCATGGTATGGGGCTATCAGGGCATAGAGCAGAATGTCAGGGCATGGGGTTATCAGGGCATAGAGGAGAATGTCAGGGCATGGGGGTTTTCAGGGCATAGAACAGAATGTCAGGGTGTGGGGTTATCAGGGCATAGAGCAGAATGTCAGGGCATATAGTAGAATGTCAGGGTATGGGGTTATCAGGGCATAGAGCAGAATGTCAGGGTGTGGGGTTATCAGGGTATAGAGCAGAATGTCAGGGTGTGGGGTTATCAGGGTATAGAGCAGAATGTCAGGGTATGGGGTTATCAGGGTATAGAGCAGAATGTCAGGACATGGGGTTATTTGGGCATAGAGCAGAATGTCAGGGTGTGGGGTTTTCAGGGCATAGAGCAGAATGTCAGGGCATGGGGTTATCAGGGCATAGAGCTGTATGTCAGGGTGTGGGGTTATCAGGGCATAGAGCAGAATGTCAGGGTGTGGGGTTATCAGGGCATAGAGCAGAATGTCAGGACATAGGGTATCAGGGCATAGAGCAGAATGTCAGGGTGTGGTGTCATCAGGGCATAGAGCAGAATGTCAGGACATGGGGTTATCAGGGCATAGAGCAAAATGTCTGGGTGTGGGGTTATCGGGGCACAGAGCAGAACATCGGGCATTGGGCGGAACACTGGGGCGTGGAGCAGAATGTCAGGGCATGGGGTGGAACACTGGGCACAGAGCAGAACATCAGGCCATGGGGGGGAACACTGGGGCATGGAGCAGAATGTCAGGGCATGGGGCGGAACACTGGGGCATGGAGCAGAACATCAGGGCATGGGGCGGAACATCAGGGCATGGGGCAGAACATCAGGGCATGGGGCAGAACCCTTGGGCATGGAGCAGAACATCAGGGCATGGGGCGGACCACTGGGGCGTGGAGCAGAATGTCAGGGCATGGGGAGGAACACTGGGCACAGGGCAGAACATCAGGGCTTGGGGCGGAACACTGGGGTGTGGAGCAGAACATCAGGGCACGGGGCAGAACACTGGGGCATGGAGCAGAACATCAGGGCATGGGGCGGAATACTGGGCACAGAGCAGAACATCAGGTTATAGGGCGGAACACTGGGGCATGGAGCAGAACATCAGGGCATGGGGCGGAACACTGGGGTGTGGAGCAGAATGTCAGGGCATGGGGCGGAAGACTGGGCACAGAGCAGAATGTCAGGGCATGGGGTGGAACACTGGGCACAGAGCAGAACATCAGGGCATGGGGTGGAACACTGGGGCTAGAGCAGAATGTCAGGGCATGGGGCGGAACACTGGGCACAGAGCAGAATGTCAGGGCATGGGGCGGAACACTGGGCACAGAGCAGAATGTCAGGGCATGGGGCTGAACACTGGGGCATGGAGCAGAATGTCAGGGCATGGGGAGGAACACTGGGCACAGAGCAGAACATCAGGGCATGGGGTGGAACACTGGGGTGTGGAGCAGAACATCAGGGCATGGTGCGGAACACTTGGGCATGGAGCAGAATGTCAGGGCATGGAGCAGAACATCAGGGCATGAGGGGAAACAGTAGGTCCTTGAGGGGAACTTTAGAGCATGAAGTGAAACTTAACAATCTAAAGTGGAGTTGTAAACATGAGACACCAACTCTCATCACAAGATGAACATCTTCCAGTCTGCCTATTCACATTGTGTGACATTAAAATTTCATCATTAAAACATGACAAAGAAACATGTTGAAACACTCAGAAGCAAATTGAGCCACACTGAGACAAAGACAAGTCCCCCACCACTCTCCCAAAGACAGTATACAGCGATGAACTAAAAACTAAACACTCTACTGTCACAGATGTTAAAACCACCATTATTTTCCCCGAACCATTTATTCTACAGATTTTCCTTCATTATCTCCCCTGTCAATTAACCCCAAGTTCAGATCATTAACTGGTCCCCCTGGTCATGTGCAGTTTCGAAGATGTGTTGTGAAGGACATGCATGTTTTTGTCTCCAGGAATATGATGCTATCCCTGCCTGTTCTATCTAATCCTCAAACCTTGCAGATGTGCTCTCAAAATACAAGATGCTAGAGGCGGTGAAAGGTTAAGTATGATTTTTTTACATGGCTCATTTATAAACAAACCAGATGCTGAATGAATCAAAACTGAACCTGATAGAAACAAATGGGAGAGTTGAAGTGCTTCAGAAAATGAACGTGTTCCATTCAAAGAATGCACTGAGGAACTTTTTGTTCCTTTTTAAAGAAACGTTTAACTCAAAGATCAGAGATCAACAGTAACAATATTTGTCTAGCAGCTTCGTTCTGAATTTTATGGATCTGGGATATTTTACTGCTTGATTGCAAATGTGAAAAAAACACGTCTGTACATTAACAGAGGAAGAAAATATTTTTTAAATGTTTTAAGGAAAAATGCACCACAGATGTTATTTAACTACCAGACTATGCATTAAATGTTTTTCCACAAACAAATTTTGATTGATGTCACATAAGTTAATAACTAATCTTTGACATTTGGTTTTCCACATAATGAGAAAGATTATGTGTTTAATTTGCTGAGAAGTCAATAGAATTCTTGCAATTATGACATATGGTAGCCATAATCTTGAGGAACTCATTTTGACTTTTCCAAAAAGCTGGAATGGTACAAATTATCATGATTAGTGAATGAGTGGTTAGGTGATCATTACAGTTATCAGTCCAATGTCCACTGTGAATGGAAAAGGCAACCAGGTGGTCGATAGTGAGAGAGCATCGAATCATGGACACAAGGTTGCAATGATGCAGTACATGCTACCTTTGAGGGTCACAGTGATCATTAGAGGTATCCTAGTGGTTGACATCAATATCTGTGTCATCAGTACAGGACACACTGATACAGAACTACCATTGTGGGTCACAGTGATCATTTGAAATATCTTAGTGGTCGATAGCGAGAGCATCAACCCAAATCATGAGCACCAGGACACATACAAAACAGGCTACTTTTGATGGTTATTTACAGTGATCTCCACCAAGGACTATGATGTACACTTACAGACGTCCCATTAATCCTCCACTGAACTCGAGGAAGGGGAATCCCAGCTGCCACACACTCGAGCCTGATCAGTTTGCCCACAGGTTCTACTCTCTTGCCATGGAAAATGTTTGTTATCTCAACCGGAGCTGCAATGTAAAATGGAAAAACAAGAATTGGAAACATGTATTGAATATTTCCCTAAGTCCCTTCTTTTGTACCTCTGATGTCATTATTGTTCATTTTGTTCATTTACTGTTTAATGCCGCACTCCACAATATTCCAGTGATAAGACAGCAGTCTGTAAATAATTGTGACTGGACAAGACAATCCAGTGATTGACATCATGAGCATCGATCCACACAATTGGGATATGATGACATGCATCACCAAGTCAGCGATTCTGACCACCGATCCCGGTAGTCACCTCTTACAACAAGCGTCGTCACCTGTTACGGAAAACATGGGAATTCTTCCCTGGATCTTCACAGGTCTCTGATACTATTAAACATGACTTAGTTTTGTGTAGTTAGTGCTGTGATGATACACTTTGTTGCCACATGAGATATATCTTCATAGCAATAAGAAAACACAACATGATGAAAACTTGACATTTCTCTTGCATATTCCACCACAGAGATTTATCAAGGATTCCAAACGAAGTGTCCTTGTTTGGCAATTAGGAATAAGATGTTGTTATTTAGGTCCAAACTTAGATCTTTCCAAAGTTAGTATTTCCTCAACAGAGGTATTCAAACATAAAACTACATTCAATGCAATCATGAAGAAGTAAGCACAAAAGCCTCTTCCTCTACTTGTCCTGTCATATCACCTTGACCATGCCATCCCATTAGTATATACAATATAAAGTTCTATATTCACATGAATTTAAATTTCCCATTTGGGAATTGTTGCTGACATTTGCTGCAGACATCAGCCTCTCAACAGGTCTAGATACGTTCCTGCATCATCAATAGTATAAATATATTTAGTAGATTTGAGTTAATTAAATGGCTTGAGAAATCTTGTACCACATGTAGTAACAACAAAAGTCTCCTCTCCTATCTGCCTGGTAAATATATTCCAAGAAGCTGCTAAGAATCAACGATATTAAAGTGAGTGATTAGGGAGTTTCTGCTGGTTTGTGCAATATGCCCGGCATGTCCAGCATCAAGAATGGGCTTCACACATAGTACCCATGTGGGGAATCGAACCTGGGTTTCCACATGACTAGCGAACACTTTATCCACAAGGCTACGCCACCGCCCCTCACACTTTGTAAACACATAGGGAATCAAACCACTTCTTCTGCCTGATGAGTGACATTATTAAACAATTTAGCCCAAAAATATTCATTTGTAATAACATATCAGCAAATGAAAAAGTAATGCGATCAATGACAACCTGGACTGCCACACCTATCATGACTGACAGATTAGATTTGACTTGTCTGTCTGCCCATACTTGACTTAACTCACATACAGAGAGGAAGTAACAATAGAGAGTCAGGAATGTGTTTTGTTTAAAGCAGATTTAAACAGTATTTCAGTTATATCAATGTGTTTCAGCCTTATGTGGGAGGAAAGCCAAAAGTCTTGCAAGTCTTAGATCTGGATCACTTTGGTGAAACCCAGGAGCATAGGTGGTCTACTGATGGTGCTGACAAACCAAGAAATACAATCTGGGCAAATCTGGGATTCAAACCCATGACTCATAGTTTCTGGCACACCAAAGGGAAGCAACTCTGCACAGTGAGGTGAGGCATCTAAGACCACAGATGAATACGGGAAACTAGACTGACTAATGTCCCAGAAATAAAGTTATCTTATTAAAAACTATATATCTACAAACTAGAAAAAAATAAACTCCTAATGGAGCCCAGAACAATCCTTAATTTCAGCCTTGACCTGAGGCAATCTAGACTTGCCAAATCATTCTAGACTTGAGTTGGACTCCTTATTTAATGTATTCTCTAGGGTCTGGGAAACAGACAACAGGGAACCCAGTGAGGAATCACAAAACTCAGGGAAATCTGAACAGTCCAAGGGAGATAACTCTACTTACCGTGAACAGTGAGATGGACGGTTTCTGACACCACGTATGTCCCCAAGGCAGGTTGTGAGGCCTTGCAGTGATACCGTCCTCTGTCAACAACCATGACCTTGAAGAAACGTAACGTTCCAGACTGACGAGCAATGTTGTAGTTCGAGGTTTCAGGAATCATTTCCCTTTCGTTGTGATACCATTTTACTTTGATAGGCAGTTGGCCTCTTGCTTTACAGTGCATTTCGAGCCGAACGCCTTTCAGCACTGTCTCATTCTTTGGAGGTCTAGATATTCGTAGACCTGGAAGAAGAGGAAGAGTCGTTAGGCTACAGTTTGATGAAGTTCCTAGGCACAGAAGCTCTCTTGAATAGATATAATCAATGAAAATAAAAATTAATACATAAACATATTATTAATTATCTGAAATGGGAATAGACAATTATAGCATTTACGGCTTTGCCAAAAATGGCAGCCATCTTGGGTAACATGGTCATGTGAAAAAATAAAACATAAAATAAAGGAACATCATCCCTGACATCATCACTGAACAGCGTCACTGAACATATGGCCTATTCAGAGTGATTCAATAATTCAAACATTTCCATTGCAAAGAATTAAATTGCAACATTACATTTCTATTACTCTACATTCATTACTCAACCATTAATATACATTGTATGTCAAAATGAATTCTATACAGATCAAAATAATTAATGCTATCCACTTGGAATACCATTAAAGGTCTTATATTTTATGAATGCTTCATTGAATATTTCAATAAACATTTTTCTTGTTTTTGTTCAGCGCTTTCAAGATGATGTTTGTGTGCAGAACAATGTCAAGGTTAGCTAACACTCATGAAGAACATTTTGGAATACTTGAAAATCATTTGTCCTTGTTTTGTTAAAATCATTTGTTCCAAAGAAAACTGTCGAACATTTACATCGACATTTTTCAAATGTGACATATGGCAAAAATAAGCTAAAAATATGAGCAAAAGAATATATTCCCCACAAACATTGTCAGCATAGACTTTCTCCTAAACTTTTAATGTCCCACTTGTATTTATACCACAAGAACATTTTTTGAAGGAAGTAAGATTTCCTAAATCATTTCATATATATATTTTTCACATCAATCAGATCACAAGTCAGGTTTAGACTACACCTATGAAGTGTTTCCGTGTGCTGGTAATAACCATTTTGTGCTGAGTAAAATAATAACTTAGTCTGAGAAATTAACAAAGAATAGCTTTTCAAATAAAATATTGTGGGAAAATCACCCCAAATGATAAGTTCAGGGAACATGTACACTGATTTATGGAAAAATACAACAGTTAATGTTAAGAAGTACTATTTTTCATCCTTAGGGAGGTAAAACAAAACAGGCAAGTAAAATAAACTTTTGGATGAATATAGTGCCATGCTAACCCGCCTGTCCCCACAACTGATCAAGAAAATGAACAATATTTTTTTAATTGAATTGTTCCATCAGAGTTGGTCTCTGGTTCCATGTTAATGAATTGAAATTTCATATTTTACACCATCAGTAAAATAAATTGACAATGATGTTAAAGTTATTTTACAGGCGCTTCAAAATGTTCCAGCACTGAAACTATTACATTTCTAAATGTTTCATAAAATATTGGTATTGTATTTCAAATCTGAAAACTTTAATAAAGTTTCTAATACATGGGGTAACAAATACACATTCTCCTGGAAATGGAAATCACAAATTCATTTACAAACATTCATCCTGGCCCATTTACCATTTCTACAGACGTCATGAAGCGAGACACAAATGAAGGGAGACAACTCTTACATGCCAAACTGCATGAGGGCAATACGTGCAAAACACCTGATTGTTACCTCTTTGTACTGGTGTTTGAAAGAAAGCTGACAATTCAATTGTCGTATGTTATTCTTATTTACCATGTTTACATATGTTGGCCCATAGAGTATGTAATACATTATGAGCAGATGGACACAAGGGCTATACGCTCCTTAGATATAGTAAACACTGCATACCATGTTAGTACAGAAGTCCCCTATATTGACGACTATGCTTGTCATAAGAGGCGCCGAACAGGATTGGGTGGTCAGACTTGCTGACTTGGTTGATGCATATCATTGTATCCCAATTGCGTGGATCAATGATCATGATATCAATCACTTGATTGTCTGGTCCCGACTCGGATATTTACAGAAAGATGTCATATTGCTGAAATATTGCAGCGATAAACAAGTACCAAACAAACAATATATTTGCAAAATGAGTGAGGGATTAAGGTTTTATATATAGATAGGTGCCGAGTCCATCCAGAGTCTGATTTATATACACTTGTACTGATGGTATGGACATTAAGCCATAATAAATTAATTATTTGATTTTCATCCTTGCCTCCCTCACTACCAAACAACTAAGATAAAAATCACTGTTTTCCCTTCTTTCTTTACTTGATGAAACACACCACATGGTAGTCCTACCAAACATGCTTGCTTGCGATCTCATCTGTCAACAGTCTGTTTGTTTGTTTGCTGCTTAATGCATTACTCTGTAAATAATCAAGTCTGGACCAGACAATCCAATTATTGACATCGTGAGCATCAAATTGCCACCAATCCACGCAATTGGGATACGATGACATGCATAAACCAAGTCAGCGACCCAGACCACCCAATCCTGTTTGTCGCCACTTACGACAAGCATAGGCACCTTTTACGGCAAGCATGGGTTGCTGAAGACCTATTCTACCCTGAATCTTCACTGTCCTGTTATCGGTAAATAAACATAAATGCCTTGTTCAAATACAAAAAAAAACCATCACATATAAAATGCTTCCATAGTTTGATGCCAATGCCTCTATTGGTTTTTGTTGTTGTTTAACGCCGCACCCAGCAATATTCCAGCTATATCATGTATATGGCCGCAGTCTGTAAATAATCACTTCTGGATCAGACAATCCAGTGATTGACATCATGAGCATCGCTCAATGCAATTGAGACACAAAGACAACCAAGTCAGAGAGCCCGACCATCCGATCCCATTAGTCGCCGCTAATGACAAGCAGGGGCTGTTGAAGACCAATTCTAACCTTGCTCTTCCAGGGGAGAAAATGCTGGTACCATGGCTGGTTAAAATATTCATTGGTAACATTTGCTGTTTATAGTATTGATAGATATAATAAAATCACTGGTAATCACTTTCTTTCCCAGGATTTTTTTATCATAACACACATTGTTTGTAGAGACAATAACCGGTACATATCCTTTCGGAAAACATTTAGAATCTTATGAACAATGTATTTTAACTTTGATTTTTTTTATGAGACTGATGTGATGCACTTCTTAACAAGTTAATATGATATTATCTAAAACAGACATGTTTACTGAATGGCAAGTGTTGATCATATGCATCTACTTTTGTTCCTACAGACCTGTCAATAACAAATCAAGAACTATATCTGTACAAAAACACCTAAATGGGACCAGTTACAAATTCTAGTTTCCTACATATATAAATAATAACCATAATAATGGTTTGTGTTCTATCCTTATAACAGCAAGTCTAAGGATGCCACTCTTTTATTATGACAGCTTGTTCTAACTATTTCTATAATCCCGGAATTATGATTTAAACTAATAATCACTGCCTTAGAGACTTGTGCAAGTCTATTGTAGTAGCAGCGCTGTAAATATGTACTTATCAATGCATTTTTTAAAGTATATATATGGAAAATAACATTTAAATAAAGTCAGCATTGTGTTTATTAATAAATGTTTAAATGTTTTAAAATTTGAAACATTTTATAACAGATTATTAAAAAGAATTGTTATAACATTTACATTAAACATATGAATCCTAATTTATAGTTACTATAACTAAGCGTTAAGAAAACTACTAAGTCACATTTCATCCTTGACAAAAACTAAGTGAGTAGGTCAGCTAAAACTATCCACACAGCTGATCAGTATTCCAAAACCTATCAAGTAACCCTTGAAAAATACCAGAGAAATGTACAACTTATGTGAAATGTACAACTTTAATATGTGAAATGTACAACTTATGTGAAATGTACAACTAATGTGAAATGTACAAATAATGTGAAATGTACAACTTATGTGAAATGTACAACTTATGTGAAATGTACAACTTATGTGAAATGCACAACTTATGTGAAATGTACAACTTATGTGAAATGTACAACTTATGTGAAATGACAACTTATGTGAAATGTACAACTAATGTGAAATGTACCACTAATGTGTAATGTACAACTTATGAGAAATGTACAACTTATGTGAAATGCACAACTTATGAGAAATGTACAACTTATGAGAAATGTACAACTTATGTGAAATGCACAACTTATGTGAAATGTACAACTTATGTGTAATGTACCACTAATGTGTAATGTACAACTTATGAGAATTGTACAACTAATCACCTGTCAGCAACAAGTGTCCACATATCTTTCAGCAATGTGGTTTTTGAGAAGATCCCCAGACTGCCCTGCTTATCTTGTTTGAAGCATTTGGAGATGACCCCTGACCTGAAAGGTTATCAGCCGTGACCCGGTTTGCTCTGGGTGGTATAAATTCACACACTCATCTCACAGACCCATGTAGACTCATGACATGGGTGCAGGTCCTGTCTGTCCTTTCTGGATGTTTCACAATGCTTGATTACATACAGAATATTTAATTTTTTTAAAAAGCTCATTTCATGAGACAGGAACAATGAATAAATTCTAAACAAGGTTCACTTGAAAGGATTCTTGGCATAGTTCTTAGTGACTGTCTATGGCTGCGCCTCATTAAAGCAAAAATCAAATCTATTGGCAATCTAATTCATTTATTACCATGAATATATATTTGTCCAAACTGTTATCTTTAGGGATGAAAAAAAAACCCAACTGCAAATGAATAAGACTTGTTTGGGAGTACTGCATTAATATCCAAAATTTAGACAGAGCTTCACTCTTTGAACTCATTGCAGAGAATTGAACCCTTGTCATCCAGACAAGCAACCACCTCAACCAATGAGCCACCCCACCAACCTTAGGAGATAGAGCCACAAACAAATGTGCTGTGTTTTATGCCACTTTTAACAGTCTCGGTCATATGAGTGATTTTGGTTTACGCCGCTTTTAGCAATATTCCAGTAATATCACGGCGGGGGACACCAGAAATGGGCATCACACATTGTACCCATGTCAGGAATCGTACCCGGGTCTTCGGCGTGACGAGCGAACGCTTTAACCACTAAGCTACCCGACCACCCCCATCAGTCATATGAAG